CACACACACACACACACACACACACACACACACACACACACACACACACATAAACCTTTAAATGATCAAACCAAACTGCAGAATAACATTAACAAGACTAAGGGTGAAGCCTGTGTGTTGTTTCACAATCAGAGCAAGAAGCAAAATTTTGAAATGGGACAGGGACTTCAGAGTGGGCAGACATCCAGTTACCTCTGGAGGTTAAGGGAATAATAACCACTTACACTTAGCAGATGCCCAGTGAGGAAGGAAGACAGTGATTGCCAGCTTCTTCCTGGTTGCTCTGAGACACATACATGAAGTGGGTGGCTCAACCTGCACTCTGAAAGTAGATGGTCACATTGCTGCATAGTTGCTTTATTTGGGGGGGGAGGGGGTGAGAAGGTTGCGCATAGGGTGTGTCCAGAGGTCTCTCTGAGCAAGATGATGATATTTTGAAAGGCAGATATCAATTGGCCCACTTAAGATTTGTAGAGATCACCTAAAAGGGACAGAGTTGGCAAAATTGTAGATCTTTAAGCTGTTCCCCATGTAAAACGTACTATATGTCTTTTTCTGTTCCTCATTTTGGTTCACAGTTAAAATTACTTTTTTAAGTGGGGTGTCATAGGCAGCAGCTGAGGTGCGGCACTGTACAGCACGGCGGGAGTCCCTAAACAGAGCCCAGGAGAGGAACCCCAGCAATTTTGTGGATTCTGATGCCAAGTAAAGGCCATCAGAAACAACAGTCATGATGAAATGGAGCCTGCTGGTGCCAGAAGACGGGCTGTATGTGCCGCCAAGGGCAGGGCCAGAGAGGTGACCCAGGCCCCTTGAGGGAGCCCAGAGGATGAGTGATTCCCTGATGTTGTTTGTGCACTGTTGAGAGTTTGATTTTTGCTCATCTAGATTGTGGCTGTGCCCTTTTTCATTTCTCTTGAAGATTTAAAAAAAAAAGAAAAGAAAAGAAATAAACCAACAGGACTTGATTTTTCATGTTGCACAGCCCACAACTGAAAGATCTTAAACCTACCATTCTTGGGCTAAAATCTCTGAAAACAAGCCAAAATAAATCTTTCTTCCTTTGGATGGCTTTTTAAGTAATTAAGCCCAAACCTCAGTGATACACTTTCAAACAGTGCCACCAGCTGGAGACCAAGTGTTCTACACGCGCCTGTGGGGAAGACTTCCACAGCTGGTTGTTAGGAACTGCAGCGCTTTCAATGCTGAGGACCGAACCCAGAGACTTCCACTTGCTAGGCAAGCACTCTGCCACTGAGTTACATCCCCAGCCCTGATCCTGTGGTTCTGTCCATAAAATTAAATAGATTATCAAGTAAAATATAGAGAAAAATATATCTAATTCCTCCTGGATGCTGCCCTTGTGTGCTGAAAGTCATAAATATTGCCTCTCTAGGGTACAAATTTTCATTTCTCAGATATTATTTCAAAGAAGTACATAAAGCCTAATGTTTACTGTGACTGTATTTCTAATACAGTAGATAAGTAGAAAGTAGATAAGCCAGAAAATTAAAGTTGCCCAAAAATTCAACAGAAAATAAAACTATTTTAACCATTTAACAAATATTAAATGGGTATTTGCATATGATACTTGAAAGATGAATTGGCATCATTAGAAACTAATAAAATCATTTAAAAATATAAAAAACAGGAAGAAAGCACACAAAATACAATTTGACCCAATGTTTAAAGATGTTTATGGCAAAAACCAAGACAAGAAGGAAGTACTTCATAGTATCAGTAGTATATTTTGTCCTGGATTAAGGCCTCCTGAAGAGTTAGCTGGACTTTGGTTGCTGTAGAATTTTCTATGGTGACTCTGTATTCATCTAGTGTGGTGTTTTTTATTTGTGTGAAGGGGTGCCAAAGACAACTTTCCAATAGTGTCCCTGACATGAAGATGATGTTTGATGCTGGGAAGAATCGAAGGTTGGGGTTAGTGATGAAGAAAGGACCCTGGATGATTGAATGTCCCTGATACTTTAAAAAAGACTGCTCGCTGAATTACTGTTTGATCATTTATTCTTATGTAAAAAGGTGTGTGTGTGTGTGTGTGTGTGTGTGTGTGTGTGTGTGTGCGCGCGCGCGCGCACGAGAGCATGCAGATGAGTGTGCAGGTGCCTACAGAGGCCAGAAGAGGTCATCAGACCCCTTGGAGCTGGACTTCCATATCATTCATTTTTATGAGCACTTTCCACGAATGCAGACTAAACTCTCGTCTCTGGAAGAGGAGCAAATGCTCTTAACTGCTGAACCATCTCTCCAGCACTTTTGATTATCTTGGTTTTTTTTTTTAAGTTGTTTTTCTTGAGTAGCTTTTGGAAGTTTACATTTTTTTTCTGACCTTTCTCCTTTAATCCCTCAGCCAATGTTTTCAGATCAGCAGATTTGATTTCTCTTATCTCTTCAGGGAGTGTTTTTCAGTTGCATATGGAAAATAAAGCCCTCAGAGGCCATAGCATGGACATAGTCATGACCTTCCTGTCCATCAAAGTGATCTTCATCTCTTGTCCTTTTCTGTTTATTCAGCCTCATGATGATCCTGAAACTGGTCCTGCTGTTGCTTGAGTACCCAGAGAAGCCAAGAGCCAACCTCCCACCGTTCCACTGTACCCGGCAGAGCAGCTTCTTACATATAAAAGATCAGTTTAAATAGGTGGTAAATGTCTTACACTAAAAAAGAAAATAATAACGTTCTCATGATAATATTAAAAACTAATTGGCAATATCATTTGCCCTTTTTCTTTATTTAAAGCACAAATTTCTGCTGCTTCTGTTTGTTAACCCTGGTCTTTAATGGGTTGTTATGTAGTCATTTGCTTTGTCTCGTTTTGTGGGTGGAATCTGGGGGCCCGCTGTTTTCTGCTGTTAATAGTTCCGATCTCTTATGGCTCAAATAAGTTTAAGTTAAACCACAACCTATCATGTCATGGGATTCCTGGCGTGAACACGGGGATGATAATGAGCTGTATTCACTTTGTACATCAGGGGATTTGTTTGTATTGTTGCCAGGGGCTCTTGCATTGAAGAAATTCTACTCTCAGCTCATCAGTGTCCTAACAGAATGCAGTCAGTATTTACAGAAAATACATTGTGTTCTAAGCCTTCTCATTCATTTGTGTGTCTCTTCTAGACACTCAGTCATTGTTAACATTTACACATTTCATTACTAGTAAAAATGGTTGTCAAGGGGGAGTTTGCACCAGCTCTCCATTCTTCACAGGAGCATCTCCCTCTCCTCATATCACCAGTCCATTTTAAGAACAGTTATAGCTGTAATGTCCAAGGCACTTTTAAGGACCAGATGGACCACCTGGAGATCCACACTCGTTTTCTACTAGCTCCTGTCTCTGGAGAATCTGTCTTCCCACTGAAGACTCAGTATCTCATTCCCAAGGGGTTTCAGTGGTTAACATGCCCACCAAGGCACCAAGGCCTCAGACAGCAACAGTCTTTGTTGAAATAGGAAGGGTGGAGAGCTCAGGCTGCCAGACTGGTAGGCAGGGGACCTTACTCTGCTGACTCACAAGCAGGTTGTTAAACTCTGAGCCATGAATAATTGCAGGAGGGAGAAAGCACATCCACTAGGTGACTAAATAGGAGACCAGTACACACTCCTTTTGGGATAATTTAGGGGTTCCCTTTAAAATAAAGAAAAATAATCCCACTGACCCAGCAAAGCCAAAGAAATTGCTGCCACAGCTGGGCTGGAGAAATGGCAGGCGTTTGCTTCCTTGCCAACAGCCAAGGTTGGTAATGGCTTCTCATCATGCTGTGATTGACACTGAAATAAAAAAGGTAAATTGTGTGGCTGCTTATAGAAATATTTACTGTATCTGTAAGCTATCTCGATAATGGGGAGTTTTAGAAGCTGGATGAAGCTATGCTGCATTTTAAATTTTTGACAAAAGGCAGTGAAAGTGAATGATAGTAATATGTGTATTTCTGTTTTGTTGTGTTTTGTTTTTTTAGTCTTGGGGGGGTCAGAAAGGTTGCAGATAAACCTGATAATCTTATGTCTTAGCTAGGATTTCTAAGGCTGTGACTAGACACCATGACCACAGCAACTCTTATAAAGAAAATCATTAAATTGGGGTGACTTACAGTTCAGAGGTTTAAGCCATTATCATCATGCGGGGCCCTGACAGTGTGCAGGCAGACATGGTGCTAGAGAAGGAGCTGAGAGTCCTACATCTTGACTCACAGGCAGTCAGAATTGAACTCTTTCAGTGGGTGTAGTGTGTGCATACATGAGACCTCAAGGCACACCCCCACAGTGACACACTTCCCCAATAAGACCATACCTGCAAATAGTGCCACTCCCCATGAGTTTATGGGGGCCAATCACATTTAAACTACCACACCTGATTCCAATCTCCAGAGCCTACAGGGTGTAAAGAGAGCTGTTTTCTGAACTGAACACATATGCCACAACAAATGCATGATCACATGTGTGTACACGCATGTACACACAGACTGAAAATCTTTTGGCCTCCACTCACTACATACAAGTCTGTTCTAGCACTGTACAGAGACCAGAGAGCCCTACTTGGGTTTTCTGGACTCATTCTTGGTAGCATGTCTCATTTGCTAAAGAAACAGGAGTTGGCTTTTCTGACTTATTGATAAGTTTCCAGTAGTTTATTTCCTTACACATTTATCATCTCTTTACAGACACAGCACCAGAATGTTTTCCTGGTCATTGATACAAGAACAGTACATGACTTCCATGGGCGTCTGTGTCTGTTAATACTCAGCTACTATAGTGCTCATGTTTTTAAGAAACATGCCTTGTTCAAATTTGAATATGTCCTTCACAGTTCCAATGGACTCATCATCCAATGGAGGCTTCCTCTGGCTTCCAGGTTGGAGAAATCTCTTAATTGTAGGGATTTGGCTGGTTCTGACCTTGAAGTCCTGCAATGTAAAAGGCCACAATCCATGAGAAAAGAATGTAGCAAAATAAATACAAGGAAGGTGTGTTCTGATAAATGAAAAAAAATGTGTGAAATTTGTATTCCCTGGAGAGGTGGCTCAGTGGTTAAGAAAGTGTCCCACTCTTCCAGGAGACCTGAGTTCTGTCACCACCACCAGGCAGCTCACAGTCACCTGTAACTCCTGTTCAAGGGGATCTGACACCCTCTCCTGACCTCCTCCAGGACCCGCACACACACACACACACACACACACACACACACACACACACACACCTGTGTGTGTGTGTGTGTGTGTGTGTGTGAGAGAGAGAGAGAGAGAGAGTGTGTGTGTGTGTGTGTGTGTGTGTGAGAGAGAGAGAGAGAGAGAGAGAGAGTATGTGAGCAAGTCTGTATATGTGAGTGTGTGTATGTGTGTGAGTGAGCTTTGGAAAGTGTATATGTATGTGTGCGTGAGTGTGTGCACATTTCAAAAGAAACAAATATAATTTGTTTCACACACTGTGGGAAAGGGTGAGGATAACGAATTTTGCTTCATTGTCTATTATTGCCAAATGATAGTACCCTTGTACAAGGCAAGTTGCAATATTTTTATGAGTAATAAACGTATTCATAAGCTGTAATCAACTGATTTCATTTTAAGAATTATATCCTAATGTCTTACATGTGAATAGCCCACCCCTGTAATGATGCCGATGACATATTATCCATTAAAGTAACATCAGCACATCACAGTGAGTGCCACAATTAGGGGAGCCCTCACTTTTAGGCTACCAGTGTCTTTCTTGCTGCTATGTGATCTTTAAAACAACTTTAGGTGGCTACATAAACTCAAACAGTGGGTACTTTTTAGTTTGATTAGCCATCTCTCAGAGAGTAGGTGCTTCCGACTTTTACTATTTAAGATAATCACAGTGAATGGAGCAGTATATGATCAGGAAATGCTCAGAAATATAAATTAGTCAACATTAAAAAATATGAAGTGAACCAAATAGCTATTCCAAATAAGTTTACACTGTACTATGAAGTGAAAATATGAGACTTTAGAATTGTAGCAAGTCTTGAATATTTTAAATTTATCTTTAAAATAACAAATGGGATTTAATCTATATGATATTTGTGTAATCAGACAGATTAAAGTGTGAGTCCCAGTCCTTCTACCAACCCACAGTGGAGAAGTTTTCTAACCTCCAAGTCCTATCTCTTTACTTTGAGATGCATGAAATGAATGAGTAAAGTGGTATTTGGTTCTTGGTGCAGAGGAAGAAAGATGAGTTTCATCCATGGTCACTGTTGGTCTTAAGAAACGACTATGTTACATGGTATTGTCTTACATGCTCCCCACGCCCGGAGGAAATCAACTGTTTGTTTATCCTTGAAAAGGGGGCCTTGCTCTGCACCCCATGGCTGACTTTGAACTCGAGATCCTCCTACCTCAGCCTCTATGGTGCTACAGCTGCAAGTGAGGGCCACTGCAGTGGCTTAGGAAGCAACTTTGTTAAGGTTCTACCACAGCCCAGGCAAAGCCATAGAGGCTCACTTCCTGCAGAAGCCTTCTTCAGGTCCGTATGATGGTCCAGGGGGCCCGTACCTGCTTTTCCATGTTTTTTACCTGAGCACACTGTGTGGGAGATACCTGCCTATGTGCTCCTTTTCTGGACTAGATGTGTTTAATGATGGCATCTTTATAGCACAGGGTGTAGCACAAATATAAAAGTGAATTCTGAAACAATAAAGGATGACTGAGGGAGGGAATAAAGCAATAACACACGTTCATTCTCCCGGAAGCATTGCCTGTAGCAGACAGAAGTCTGGCCTGCATCTTTCCATTACCTGTAGCAGAGGGAAGCCTGAGAGAACACCAGCCTTGCATTCTTCAACCATTAAGATAACTTCAAGGAGTTGCACATCAGCCCAGCTCAGCCGATTGCCCACAAGAAAATGTTGCTTGTTGTCTCTTAGGGCCTGGAATGTGGTTGGGACAGAGGAGGCAGAAGGTGAGGGCCACTCTCAAAAATGTAAGTGTTATTAGTTTGGGGGAAGATTTTTGAGAAGTTAGACCTATTTGTTAATCTGTTGTTGTTATTGTTGTTGTTGTTGTTGGGGGGGTTGTCTCCAGCTAATAGCATGAGCTTAAGTCCCATCCCTTGCTTAATTTAAGCCTTATCCTAAATCTCTTAGGGTTTCAACTTAGTTTCAACCTTCCAGTGAGCTGAGCACAGAAAACAGTTTAGACTCATCCTCCTTTGCCTCCTTTTCGTCTCATCTCCCCGCACCTACCCACAAGTTATGCAGCACCCTGTCTGGTGGCTTTTCTCGGCATGTGGTGACAGCCTGTCCTCGCCCCATCTCTGAGCAGTTTCAACATATCTATAAATGTTGTGTCATGTTGATTTAAACTCGATTGAATACAGAAATGGAATAGGCATCGCTGGTGTATATTCCAGGCCCTAAGTCCATGTTGTATTATAGACTTAGACATGGGATAAGTGTCAATGGAGCTGTGAATGCAGGTATTGACTTTTATCAACCTGGCATTCGTCAGGTTGTTCTATGTCATGATTTCCTCATCTAGAAGTGGAGTGATAACAGCACCTCTTTCTTGGAATTAATACAAATATTAGAAGTCAGTGCTTGCAAAATGCATATGGCCCCATTCTTGGCCTTCAGTAGAGATGAGTCACCATTGTTCCTGGCTTTGTTGTTACAAATGTTGGGACTGTCACCATTTCTCTCCATGAGTGACACCTCTGTGCTTCATACTATTATAAGGGGGGCTGTATTTGAGGATAAAGCCTTGCACATATGAAGGCTTTATCCTAGGTTTTAATCTCCATCAGCAGCACAAAAAAGCAAAATAGGAAGGGAAAATAGTGGTATCAACCATCCATGCTAGTGACACTAGTTTTTAAAATAAGAAAGCAAACTATCTTAAATTACGTGCTAATTACAGATGGATATACTTTAAATACCTTTGAAAGAAATTTGTACTGAGAAAGCCTGCAGTGTTTAGGATTTAAAGTTTGATACATTTTGGACCAAAAGGCAGAACATGGATTGCTAAATGTATTAAGAGAAAATTATAACTTAGAAAGGTCGGGTACCTGTAATTTGTGACAGGCACAGTAACAAATAATATACATGACAATGATGTGTTCATGATCAATACGTGTAAACGTGGGTACTAATTATTCAGTTCTAAGCATGTTGCGCAACTCAGAAAAGACAATGAAATCAGTTTGCAAGTGAGTTCGTAATATGCATCTGATTTTGTTTTAAGCAAGTGTCAAGTTTTCAGCATCCTTCCCCACACCTGCCCTTAAGACAATGAATGCACCCAGGAAGCAGAGCATGTGATGCTGAAGAACCACCCACCCGGAGCTCGGGAAGCCACTTTAAATGTGTATTTAAGGCACACGCTTTCCAGGAATCAGTGTGCAGATGTGAGAAATGCAAAACAAAGCGCAGAGTTACTTTTTAAGCTGCCATGTGACTCACAGAGTCCCGCTGACCTGATAAACTCCATGAAGCTCTGGTGTTGACCAGAACATTTGAGAAACCACATTCATCCTCATGCCCAGTGAGGGATGCCCTGGAGGATCTTATGGATCAGGTACTATGTTATTTCAGACTTAATTAAGGCAACTAAAATTCTGTCAGCACCAGAATCATAAACAGTACCGCAGCTATGTGTAAAATCCTTAAGAACAAAATAGAATCCAGAAAACTTTCCATAGGGGCTGCAGAGAAGGCTCCAAGGTTAAGAATGCTTCTCCTTGAAGGCTGGAGTTGGCATCCCAGCACTCACAATGAGAGAGTCACCCCCAGCACCAAAGCTGAAAATCCAGCTTTGACGTGGGTAGAGATAGATCACTGAGGCCTGCTGGCTTCCAGACTATCTGAGAACAAGAGCTCTAGGCTCAGGGATGACCCCATCTCAAAGGAGACCTAAGTGTGATGAAGGGTGGCTCCTGATGGCCTTTTCTGGCCTCTGTATGCATGCCTAGGTGTGCACATCTGCATGCTCATATAGACACATACACATGTGTGCACACACACAATGTGCACACCCACAAAATGTGCAGAAAAGAAGGAAGGAGAGAGACGGAGAGAGAGAGGGAGAGAGAGAGGAGGAGGAGGAGGAGGAAGGGAAAGGAATCCAGTGAGAGGGAAACCACGGTGGAAGGAAGAAATGTTATACAAGTGAAGGCAGACAGTCAAGTTTTCACAGAGGGTTTGCAGCCTTTCATCCACCAAAGGAGCTCTGCTTTCAATTTCATTTGACGATTTTTTTTTCCTCTTCAATACAAACCATAAAGCAGCCAAAGATTGCTGCTCACCTTCTCATAAGCAGGAAAGAATCTTGTCGTGGCTCGATGGAGGATGTATTCAAGATTCATCTCCTTCTCCTCCGGCAGAGAGAGGGGAAAGAACATGATCATGTCACTCAGGTCCCTCAGGCCTTCCACATACATATCAATCCTAGAGAAAGGGAGATCGTTTACAGAATTAACAATACCAGGAAGACATTCTATGGACCAGTGACACATTTTATATAGTGTCCACCTCATCTGCCTGGTTACTGGGGGCCCACGAGGGGTATTGTTTCATGAACTCCGGTCCAGTATTTATACCAGCAAGTGGTTCCTTGAGGACACTAATAAAGCTCAACCGGGCACAGGTGCAGTGGTATGAGCCTGGAATCCTAGCGCTCAGGAGCCTGAGGTGGGAGGGTCCTGAGCTAGGTAGCAAAACTCTGTCCCCCAAATTAATCTGAGAAATAAGAAGAAACACAGCACCAAAGTGTCTGCACAATTGCATGTGTGTTCACTTTGATCATGCAGCACTGCTATTAATAAAATGTGATGTGCTCACACAAATTATTAACATAACAATAAAGTAATGCATAGAGTAAATATGTATGGTGCTTGCCTGTTTTAATATAGTCTACATCTAGGAAAAGAGGTATCTAGGGACCTCTGTCTTGTCTAAAATTTGTCTGCATGGAGTCAAGATTCTCAGTCAATCAAAACATCATTTTAAATGGCACAGAATTCGTTCCACAAGTCTCCACTTGCTGCTGCCCACAACTTTTGGGAGGCCCTGCTGGTCAGACATTGCAGTCTGCCATAGCCTGGCAGTTTTCTTCGAACTGAGCAACATGAGGACCCCCCTCCCCTGCGTGGGGATGGAGGGTGGAGGTGGCTTCCTGCTCTCTACCCAACCTTATCTGGAGAATATCTCTAGGCCTGGATGCCTGACTTATTTCTAGTGTGACCCTTGACACAATCCCATGCAGAAGCTTACCCTGATGCCCTTATGGTAATTAGACTTGTACTAGGATCCTTATGATAGGCACCTGCTGTTTAATGCAAGTCAGGTGACGCCCAGCCTCTGCCCCCATTCTTTATAGCTCCCTTCACTCATTATAAGACATCCATGCTGAGAATCACAGGATTTGAGGAAGCCTCATCCAGCCGCAAGGAAAGAGAAAGAAATGCCTGGCCGTGTGTTCAAATGTCCCAGCCCAGGGCCCAGAGTTAAGAAAGCACTACTGCATGAGAAAGTCTGAGGACTACAAGCAGAGGCATCAGCTCACCGATCTGAGAGAGTGACTGTTCTGTAGCAGATTCCCAAGAGGACCACTCAGAGTGTCGGGGCCATTGTGGGATTATGTAGATATGGAGTTGAAAATATACAATAGCATATACAAAGCTTTATCATTATAGTGGTGTATCAATAAAATCACTATGAATAAATTACCATCTCACCTTCAATTTATACACATTAGGTCTGTGACATACCAACTTGAAAACCAGTTCATGCTAAAATTAACAGCAGCTTCTTAGAGAAATGACTGGGTCCATATCTGGAATGAGAGATGCCCAGGGCTGATCTGGATCCTCAGGTAAACATGCTAAGGAGTTACCAGAAACCATTATGGTAATGTAAATTATTCTGAGGAGTCATTAGTCCCCATTGGCCAAAAGTAGGACATTTTGAACATAAATGAGAATAGGAACTGAAATAAAATTAAATATATCAAAAAATGCTTAAAGGGAGAGTGACACTAAAATGATAAATATTAATACATAAAAATAATAAAATAAAAATTGGTCTCTGTCACAGAATACAGGTGAGCCCTCTCATTTTGTGGAAAACAGGTAAAGACCCACCTTCAATGTCTAGTACATGGAGGAAACCATGCCTCCATGTACTAGACAGCAAATGAGGAAAAACTTTTTTAAATATAATTACTCTAAATACTAAATGTAGAGGAAATAGTAGCATTGAGCACCAATAGCCACTAATATTATTAAAGATGGATACACAGACAGTTTCTACTTCTTCCCAGAGGAAGAGCTGTAATAGCCTTGCAACACCCCCTGGATCCCAAGTCTGAGCATCTTTCCAAATGCAATCAGCAATGCACAAACATGCAAAGACAGAGGAACACAGTAACCTGCAGTGCAGCAAAACAGCCAGAAGAAACTTAGCAAAGACAACTGGGGAGGGAGCAGTGCTTACAGCAAATACTTAATGGTAGGGCACTCTGAAAATTGGCTCTGTGTCCATTTCTTTTTTTTTCCTGGACATGTCTTAAAATGCAATTTGATATAAAACAATGCCACGACAGTCACTTAAAATACAGCTCATCTAGTATTAAGGGATGACTTTTCTCCCAACAACAGTGTTTATCAAGTACACACAATAATTTTCAACTTAAAGTTGCTGCTTTACCTCCTAGGTAAGAGACGAACTTAAGGTTTAGAGATAGGCTTGCCAATCATAGAAGGCCTAGTGCTTGATGGAGCGATTTATATTGTGTTTAGGAGGCCGGGGGCGGAGTGAGTTTGGGGACGGGGCAGTTGCTATAAGCAGAGTTCTGATGAGGTGGTCTTCTACAACCACTTTGGATTTACAAGGTTAATTGAATCCTAGCCCCAAAAATAAATGTAGGAGTGGGTTTTCTTTATTTTTGTGTACCATTCCCACATGGTAGAGGCAAACATGGATTTATGAAAACATAGCTAACTCCCTCTACTAACGACAGCTAGACAAACAACTAAAAAAAAAATTAGAACCCTATTATTAGTAGTTACCCAAACGAATTATTGATGAAGGTAAATATTGTGTAATGAGCCTATCATGATATCTTCCTTTTTTGGAATTGGTTACAATAGATTCTTCCAGTCAAGAACAAAAGCAGGCTTTGTTTCAATCTATCAAGAACTATACTATGAACATGGCTTCTAGTTATGCTAAATGTTCATGTTCTGGTCTGGGTGTTTTTGCTATAGTTGTTGTTGTTTTGCTTTGGCTCTTGCTCTAAGTAACAAACGGTCTTTGTACCAGGCCTGTTCTTCCAGGCTTCTTCCATACAAGCCGTACTTCGCAGCTATGTATCTTAAGATGGCTCTTGTTTGCACCAAATTCATTCCGTCGATTTCAACCATGGGCACTTGTTCATACATCAGGGTTCCACCTTGAAATGCACAATGAGAAGCTAGATTATTTCCTGCTCTCTAGAATGGTAACTACATTTTCTTTCTTTCTAAACGCTCTATGAAATAGGACCATAGAATCTATTTATCAAAGCACTTTCTAGAACCTAAGAGGAGAAAGATGCATTCTTTAACCAAAAATTATATAGAGTACAAAACATGACAGCTGCTGGGAGTCATGAGACTTCTTTGGGGGACAAAGCCTGAGAATAACATGAACAAGTTCTGTTGTTGGTAAGGCCTGGGAGAATTTAACACATTTTTGGCAAGGTCAATGGATAGTTCACTGTATAATTCTGGGCATAACCTCAAAAGCCCAAGTGCTACCTGCTCTCCTTGCTTTCCTTACACAATCATATTGCTGGCTGCCTCAAGTTTCAGTTTTTTGGAGCCATAGATGAAATGGCTATTGTATTAAGAAAACTTTCCTCTTTTGACTCTTCTCTGCGTAAGCCGGAGGGGATGTTGTTAAAAACATATAGTGAGCCAGGCAGTGGTAACATATGCCTTTAATACCAGCGCTGGGGAGGCAGAAGCAGGCAGATCTATGTGACTTCGAAAACAGCCTAGTTTACAAGGCTAGTTCCAGGACAGCCAGGGCTGTTACAGAAAAGAAACCTTGTCTCAAAAAAAGAAAGAAAGAAAAGAAAAGAAAAAGAAATATGCACTGGACCTGATTCACCCCCTAAAGCCTTTGATGTGTCAAGTGTGACCATGCATTCAGGATTCTAAAGAACAGGATGTTGCCTTTCTAACACAACTTGTGACTGGCCTGGAGGAGTCACAGTAGTTCATGACATTATTACAAATTTCCATAATTGTTCTGGAGAGAATGACTCTAACCATAAGAGTCTAAGAGAAACGCTAACAAATAGATGATATCAAGAGTTAATGGGAATTATCTAGGAACAGGGAATGAAACAAAATCATAGAAGCCGCAGCCACCTCACTTCTAATAGCTGTGCCAATACTGTAGGAGTCAACGCTATAGGAAGCAGAGAGGGGATATGAGAACAAGAAATAATCAATGCCAACTATTAAGTGTTTGCTTTTAAGTTGTGTAGTTTACAGGATGGTAGGGGGGAAACTGGTATCACCCCCTTAGGAGACAGAGTAGTACAGAATGAAGAATGGATTGATCCAGCCTTGGCTGATAAGTTGATTATGAGAACTTAGATTTGACCAGAGGTAAACATTAGTCACTAGAGACAAAATTTTCTTTCACTTTGCATGATGCTGTAACTGCAAATGCTGCCAGCTAGACACACTGTTCTACCTGCAGGTGAGCCTACTTAGAAAACTTCCTTTGTTGCCTGCAACAGCATTTATGATTTTAACATTGAGTTATGAATCAAGTAGGTAGTGGTTCCGGTGGGAAAGTTGGGGAACAGAAGGGGAATGAGGTAAGGGAACAAATGGGCAATTGTTGCAATTATTGTTAGAAACTTGAGGAAACAAATATGATTGTAAAACTGTTCATGCAGCCGGGCGTTGGTGGCACACACCTTTATTCCCAGCACTTGGGAGGCAGAGGCAGGTGGATCTCTGAGAACCTGGTCTACAGAACAAGTTTCAGGACAGGCTCCAAAGCTACACAGAGAAACCCTTGAAAAACTTAAATAAAAACTGTTCATGCAAACTATTGAAACCATATGAATAAAAATGGCTCAATCTGTCCAGAACCACTTGTTTGAAACAGGTGATGAGCATTTCCTTCATTCTCTCAACTTCCCACATCCATCCCAGGTCATTGAACCCATTAGGAGCAAGGCTCCTAATAAATATTTGACATTTTGGGTCAATTTTGAGATATTCTGGGAAATTTTGGATTTGTGTAGATGCCAAGCATTCCGTTGGACCAGCGTTCCCTCTACTTTCGTAGTCTCTTTCCCTAAGGCCATGACATTTGTTAAAATACCCTTTACCTTTGACCTCGGGTAGCACCCTCTGTTGTCATTCTGAGTTCAGTCTCCTTACCCATTCTTCCTCTGCATCTGGTTGCCTCCTGAAGTCTTACACTGTACCACTGTTTAGATCTTTCTATCATTTGCCATTGCTTCCCAGAGAACACACATAAATATTGACCCTCACTCTGAATTCAAAGTCTTTCTTGAAATTTGCTCTTCTGTACATAAGCTCCCACCTAGGCGATGTTGTTTACTCTGGGTTTGTCTCTTCAATGTTCTCAAGATGCTTTGTAGCAAAACAAACCAACCAAGAAACCACGACAGAATAAGGAGTGTACGATAGCAATGGCTCTTTGATTAGAAAGAATTCTGTCTCTGTCTCTCGGTCTCTGTCTCACTCTCCACATACACACCACCCCCAGTGAGGGCAACAGTGAGGCTTGTCCTGTTGCAGTCTTGGAAGTTGAGTGGATTGGGCCAGTTCGGATCTAACTGGGAGGCCAAACCACACAACTTACTTAGCAGACAGAATTTAATATAAAGATGTTAATTGTTTATGGTGGTATTCATCTGTCATCCCAGGACTCAGGAAGAGTGCAGGTTCAAGGTCACTCTCCACTACATAATGACTTCGTGTAGCCTAGGTGACATGAGACCCTGCCTCAAAAAGCCAAAACAATAAATCTTAAAAATAAATAATAAGAACAGTAACTATATATATATATATATATATATATATATATATATATATATATATCTGGAAAGCTGAAAACTAACAACAGGGAGGTACCATGAAGCAACTGCAGAAAGGATCATTGCGAATTATGGGGGGCAAGGTAAAATCACAACTTGGAAAGTTTGGAGTGCACTCCTCCTACTTTCAAGGTGTAATGGTCTGCCCTGTCCCTTTAAGAGACAAGCCCTGCCCACTCCCTCCCCTGCCCCCTGGGGCAAGCAGATCTACCTTCAGCTTCCTGCCTGAGCTCCTTCCTTTCTGTCTCTCTCCTGAAGAGGCAGTTTCTGCCTCTCTCCCCCTTCTCCCTACTTCTACTCTTCCTGCTCCTCCCTCCCTCCCTCTCTTTCTCTCCCTCTCTTTCTCTCTCTCTCTCTCTCTCTCTCTCTCTCTCTCTCTTTTTCTCTCTTTCTCTCTATCTATGCCTCTCTCTACTCTTCCCCCTTCTCCCCTTTCCTCTTTTCCCTTCCCTTCCATAACCCATTAAATAAATATCTAACCTCACTCTGCATGGCGTGCCTATTCATGTCTCTGTCTCTCAACCACCACGTGGCTCCCTACCTGGAACCTGCTGAACCTCGTGGCCTGATGCTGCACCCCTTGAGGAACTGCAGCATTTTATTTTTACCATAACATAAGGCTCTGGAGCTGCCCTTCTTACATAAATAGGGTCCTGGTGGTCACTGTCCACATGACTTGCACTGTTCTCTTGAAAAACTGAAGAGAGGAGCAGAAGGGGCCTTTCTCAGTAGGGGATGACCATCTCAGGTCTCAGGCAACACTGGGAGTGAAAGCGTTCTCTCTCACCTTGGATTAACTTCTCAAATTCTTCATGGTTTTCAAAAAGTTTTTCTTCAAACTAAATGAGGCAAAGAACACATAACGTAAGATTATGTTGTTTATTGTTATTGTGGCATGGGAAAGTTGAATAGGATCAAACAGCCTAATCTCCTGTTAGTCCAGGACTTTAGTGTACAGGACATGGTTCCTTACTCAGCATTCTTGAACACTTAGATGGTGTTAAACTTGTGTGAGGCTGCCTTTATCCCTGACTCCTGAAGACTTGAACTCTGAAATCCAACTGCTGGATTGTGGATTACAGGTTTGGGGGACTCTCACCACCTTATAAAACAAAGACAGATACAAAAACCTACCTTCTCATTCTTTCAACATAGTAACAAAACTTTTATACACGTTATAGAATGTTTCATAGAAAAACTATATTTAAAAGTATTTATTGCTCCTCAAAATAATGAGGGGGTTTTTGATGAGTAAGTATTGAGTTCACTTTATCTACTATGCATGTCTTATATAAAATTTCATATTCTAAAGGAAGAATCCACAAAAATAAGATTAAAACTTATTATTAAAGTATTAGTAACCCATCTCTCTCTTACACAGAGTCATACACTCCATAACTCTTTTTTCATCTACCCAACCTATCCAACTCTACATGACTAGATATCAAAAAAACATAATATTGAGTACAGGAAGAAAAAGATAGAATGAGGTAGAAAAGGGTCATTTATATGCATTGTTCCCAGAGGCATACAAGAACAGGTTGGGAGTCTAGCCAAAGGTGCAAAAATATAAAGGCTGGGCAGACAAGACAGATTGGTGATCACTGAGCTGGAGGTGATGGTCCTACTGAATTTTGGCTTTCTTATTAATTTTCCTCTGCAGTCCACCAGGGTGGGGAAGGTCTGGCAGAGTTAGGAATAGGGAAAGCAGGCACTCCTTCTGTCTCCCTAGGTCAGGCTGTACGATAGGGAACATGGCACTTGGCTGGCTTTATTATGTCACACTCAGTCTAGAACCAGAGTCCTCATCTGCTGCCCACATTCTGGTCCGTCCCACTCCCTCACTTAACCTTCTCTGAAAATGGTGGAGGAAAAAGTAGGGAGCATGTTGGTAAGATTTCTCAGGGGGTGGGCACTTGGTAACATACTTGATTACCTGAACCCAATCCCCATATCCCACAAAAAGGAGAGAACCAACGCCCAAGAGTTGTTCTCTGCCACCACATGGCACTATGGCATGCACACTCCTGTATCCATGTGCACACACACGCATACACACACACACACACACACACACACATACATACACACACACACACACACACACACACACACACATTTTAAAAAGGCATCTCTATTTCTTGGAACCTTGGTTCCTTCTATTAGGGCTGAGACAGAATATACAGTCTCTACAAATGCATCCAATTTTTATGTTGAAACACTCTGGGGCTGGCCATAAATTTAAAGAAAGTGTCTAGTAATCCACCCTTGGAGATAAGACGGCATGTTTTAACTTATAGACACAAGAGGGTTTTTTAAATAAGACTCCAATAGCAATTAGAACTAATTAACAAATGGGATTTCAGCAGGGATGCTGGGGGTGGCACATGGCTTTAATCCCAGCACTCAGGAGGCAGAGATAGACAGATCTCTGTGGGGTTCAAGACCAGACTGGTCTACAAGAGCTAGTTCCAGGACAGGCCCCAAAGATACACAGAGAAACCCTGTCTCAGAAAAACAACAACGAAAAAAACAAAACAAAATAAATGGGATCTCATAAAATGAAAAAGCTTCTATAAATCAAAATAAACTATAAGTAAATGAAGGGGCAGCCCATAGAATGAGAGACCATCTCTTCCAGCTCTTCATCTGGCAGAGGATTAGTGTCTAGGGTACACCAAGAACTGCAATAATCAAACTAAAGACAGGCATGGAGCTAAATAAAGAAGGATTCAGGGCTGGTGTGGGCAGGGGGTAGAAAAAAAAATGAATGGGCAATGGGTTAACCGAAACTAAGATTACATGAGAAAACCTTTGGGAGATTTAGTAATTAGTAAGCTAACTTCAGACTATGACTTTAAAAGAATAAATAAACAGTTAGAATGGAATTAATCTGCATTGGTTGGCAATGCTGCACCAGAAAGACAGGGATTTTAAAAGGAGAATCACTTTGCAAGACATGGGACGCATCCCTACAAGTTATTGTTTGAGAGGTCTCAGAAGTCTCTAAAACAACACAGGCTATCATCTTTGCTCTTGGTTACATACCATAATGGTATGGTAAACTTCATTGCTGAAGATATGGCACACTTTGTTTACAGAATAAAGAGAAATCAATTCAAATACACTGGTGAACCTCTTCCCTGCTAGCTAGCTTTTGCTGTACTAGAACATGGCATGCACGCCTAAAAGAAAAGACATCAATGCTCTCACCCAGTGAGGTACTACATACTGTAGTACCAATATGCCAAGCAAGACACTAAACTAGTGAATATGACCATTGTGTGTCATAACACAGTGACCTGAGTGTCATGGGGTAGCTAATCACATTCTGATTGTATTGGAGGCCTGATCTACAGGAATGAATCTCGTGACTGGATGTGTAATCCTTGTCAAAAGCACGTGGCTGGGAAACTCATAGGCTTTAGGGTAGAACTTGCTATTAATATTTTGCTAAACAACCTGATGAAGATTATTTAGCTATCCGCCAGGAGGTAGGAAATAGACAAGAGTACCAGGTAACCTCGGGTGCATGGGGGGGGGGAATGGGAGGGCTGATGGAAGGGGAGAGGGTTAGAGAGAAGGGAGTAGGGGAGGAATGGGGAAAGCTCGGTGGCCTGGGATGGGGGGGGGGAGGGAGGAAGGATGAATATGGGATCAGGGAAGAATATATTTCAACTAAGGGAGTCATTTTAGGGTTTACAGGAGACTTGATTATATATGGGATCCCAGGTCCAAGGAGAGATCCCCCAGATTGTTCTCTGGACAGAGGAGAGGGTGCCTGAACCGGCCGTGGCCCATAACCATACTGATGTATATTTTGCTTATCACCATAGATCCTTCATCTGGCGAAGGACGGCGATACAGACGGAGACCCACATTGGAGCACCGGACTGAGCCCCCCAAGGTCCAAATGAGGAGCAGAAGGAGGAAGAACATGAAAAAGGAAATCAGGACTGCGAGGGATGCTATCACCCACTGATACAAGGGAACGGATCTAATGAGAGTTTACCAAGTCCAGTTGGACTGGGACTGAACGAGGACGTGATCTAACCAGATTCTCGGAATTTGGCCGGACTCTCTGAATGTGGCTGGCCCGAAGTCTTCCTGAAAAGCCATTGACTATGATACTGGGACTTGTTTCCTCTGCATATACTGGATTTTGGGGATCCAGTCTGTTTGGATACTCACCTTCCTGGACCTGGAGGGAGGGGGGAGGAACTTGAACTTCCCACAGGGCAGGAAACCCTGACTGCCCTAAGGGACGAAGAAGGAGGAGGAGAGGGAGTGGGGGGAGTGGGAGGGTGTTGGGAAGCGGGGCGGAAATGGAAACTTTTATAATTTAATAAAATTTACTTTAAAAAAAATATTTTGCTAAACAGTCATGCTAGCAAATTGCCTTTTGAAAATAAATGTTTATACCCACATACTCTGGGCCACATTCTGAGCCACTCTCAAATTTGGAAAAGAGAGAGAGAGAGAGAGAGAGAGGCTGGAAGGGGTATGTTGGGGGTATGATCTTTGTTCATTCTATACATGTATGAAATTCTGAAGAACAAAGAAAGTTTATTAATTTTAATTTTTAAAAAGAGAGAGATGAAGATCAACTTGGGCTACATGGAGAAATCCTGTCTCAAAAAATTCATAAACAAACTATGTTGAATAAACAATTTTTAGTAATTTTCAATTTCATTAAAGTATGTGATAGTTACAATTTTAGTGGCAAATGGCATGTTCTTACATATATTTGCTTATTTGTTTTTTGAGACAGGGTCTCATGCAGGCTGGGTTGACTTTGAACTTGCCAAAGAGCATGACCTTGAACTCTTGATCCTCTTGTCTCCACCTCCCAAGTGCAGAGTGTACAGGTGTGTACTGCTATACCTGGTTTCCATGAGATGTTCTACACTTTCAAGTATATTTATCAGAAGATGAGCAAGGTCAGTTCATGGGTAAAGCTGCTTGCGTCCAAACCTAACAACCGAGGTTTGATCTCCAGGATTCAAATGGTGGAAGAAGAAAGCCAAACTCTCACAAGTTGCACTCTGCCCTCAGGGTATGTGTGTCACATGCCTCCCACCCACAAATAATAATAGCAAATGTTTAAAAATTAAGTATTTGTCTCTTAATGCTCTTCAGGCAAATGGAATTAGGTGGTGCTCTAACTAGACTGATAAGAATGGCATGAGAGAATCTGGGAGGCAAATGAGTCTTCCCTTCCTTCTCACCCCTCCCTCCTTACCTTTCTTCTCCTTGTTAGCTATTGTAGAACACCATTTACACTATCAGAATGAACATAATATCCATAATAGGTCCCCACAGGATTTGAGCACTTATTTCATAAAACAAACTCACCAGCAGCCCAACGTTCAAAGAGTATTTGTTGAACGCCACTTTTTGTTTGAAAAGAACATAAAGTTTTCTACGACTTTTAGTCAAGTCGTAGAAATGAATAACCTGGAAAGAAAACTAACCCCACTATGGGGCATCTTACCTCCACTCCAGCGGCTGCCAAGAGCCACCGGACGGACTCCATTCTTCCTCTTCCATTGAAGTAGTGAAGCACGGGCTTCCCAGTCATGCTGAGAGATTCCTGACTAGAGAGAAAGAAGAGACGGAGACACAGAAGACAGTCTCGGAGGAGCTTATAGAGCAGAAGCACAAGGCTAAGAAGGCTTTCACCCAGGATTTTGGCCCCTAAACCAAGCTTCCCTCTGCCCCGAGACTGCCTGCACTCTGCCGCTCCCTGCCAACGAAGTGTATCCCCACAAACTGATTTCCAAATGCCTTCCCAAAAAAACCTAATTAAATAACTGATAAAACGAAGAAGCGACAAGTCTATGCAAGCCAACAGCTGGAAAGAATTCAAGAGCAAGGCAGACCGGCCCCTCTTCCTGTGGCAGGTGGTGCAGATCAAATGTTCCGATTCTTTCTCTCCCTCTCTTTATGTACGGATCCCTGAGGCGACAGCGCTACTGCAGTAAGGAGTTGTGCGAGAGGAGCCGAGGATTTAGAGAAACACCACACAAACGCCTCCCAGCTTCTCTCAGTTCATTTTTATCAGTCTAGTGAGCGCACCACCTAATTCCATTTGCCTGAAGAGCATTAAGAGACAAATCCTTAGTCATTGGTGCTAAGAGAAGGCCGTTTATTAAAGGGCAAGCGTGGTCTATATATACGGGCTTGCAGCACTGTGGAAAAACCCAGGGTTTCGAAGTTCATGTTATTGAAGGGCCAAATCAGTTAACAACTAAGCGGAACAAGGAGCTTAAGGTTAGGCCCAGAGGTGCAAGATGTACTTGCTAGTAAAGGTCAGCAATAATAATAAACAGACATCCCAGGGTAAAGGGCTCAACAGATCCCTCTCCTCCTTCCCACAAAGACAAGCCTAGACTGGAGAAACAGTGTGAATAAGAGGCTGGGATTGCTGGTATTATTTTGCTTTCAAAATTAATCTTGATAGTTTAATCACAGTGTTCTCTGAAGTCAATAGCAGATTGCAAAAAGACTTTCTGTCATTCATGGGGATTTTATTTAATAAAAAAATGTATAATTAAACCAAGGACTCCTTTTTCAAATCTTTTCCCTTGGGAAGCAAAAGTTCTTTCAGGGACATAACAGATGTTCATTTTGAAGTAGTTGAGATAATAGACAAATCTAGAAGTCAAAAGCCCATCTCTGTGTCCCAAGACAAACTATGAGGTTCTTGAGCAGGTGATAAATCCTTAACATTCAATAGTACCTTGATGTATCTGGACAGAGTTGGTCAGAAACCAAAAGGGCTTCGGGAGGTGGGCGGGGGGGTGATGGTGTCTTTATTAATTAGGTGGTCTTCATGGTATACGTGAGAACTGATTTATTATTATACAGCGTATTAACTGCCTCGCCTTCAAATCCAAATCTCTACACATGAAAAGTCAAGTGAAACAAATGTAGAGAAAGCAATAGTTTGTGGAAAAACACTATTTCAAAATTCAGAATTAAAATATCTAATGAATTATTCAACCCTACTGCTTCATATTAGAATGTCCTGAGGGGCTTAATACACATGCCAGTTTCTCCATTGACAAAATGGGAGTGGTTTCATCAATACCATAGGTTACTGAGATTTTCAATCTGCATTCACATAACTGCATCTTTAAACTAAGACAAGTGGCTGGAACTCCATAAAACCCATCTTTCATGTCTTCTCTCTATTTGTTTCCTTCCATAACCATCGACTCCTAAGCATCCCCCATTAGAGCTACAGCAAGTGGAGAGACACATGGCTAAATTTCTTGAACAAATCCAAAGCTATAAAACAAGGAACTTACCTCCTCCTTAGGAACATATGACCTCAAAGATGGGGAAGACTAAGATCAAAAACTCCTATGGGAGTTACTGGAGAGGGACGGAATTGGCAGGAGAGTTACCTATCAGGACTTTCGTTTGAAGGACAGTCGGAGGAAGTAGATAGCTAGGAAAACAAAGTAAGTTCTCCCTAGAGATCTCGTGATTATGATTGACCAACTGATTGAGTTTGGGAACCATTAGAGAAAGTGATCCAGCCATGACAACATTCTCAGTAAAGACTCCAAGTTGGAGGGGTATCACATAGCCTATCATCCTATATGAAGAAAATGAGGCTCTTACATATTTGTTCATGTGAAGGTCTTCATGGTGTCTCTAGGAAGAGGTGGCTTTGGTAATGAGTCTAAGAAGAGAATTAACTATCACCCACTGCTTTTCTCGTGATAACCATCACTTACTAAGCGCTTAGTATGTAGAAGATACTTTACCAAGTAAAACTTTGGATTACCTACTACAGCTTCTCTAAGCTTCTCTAAGAACTGCTCTATAATCCCATCTCACCCCATGTGGATTCTTGCCAATCATGGGTTGTAGCACATAGCTCCTCCCCCAAGCCCTGGCTGGTTGGATAAGACTGATTGAACCACCAACTGAAACCCAAGAATGAGGTCTTCGTTGTAGGATGTCATTAGTGTTGAGATGCTGAGGCATTGCTTTGTCATAGGGGTTTGTTCTGTTTTGTTTTTACTCTTTGCTCTATGGAAAGCCTGCTCCGAGCTTTTATCTTTCTCTATTTCTGTATATCTTTTCTTTCCTTCTTACTCCTCATCTGGCTGTGCAGCTGAGTGGCTGGACTCTCCTTTTCTTGCTCCTCTCTTTCACACTCTTCTTCTATTTATTCTCTCTGCATCTCAGCCACGCCCAGCATCTCTCCTGCCTAGCTACTTGTCACTCACCTCCTTATTAGACCAATCTGGTGTTTTAGACAGGCAAAATAACACAGCTTCACAGAGTTAAACAAATGCAACATAAAAGAAGGCAACACATCTTTAACTAGTAATCCACAATACTCTGTCAGTAGTTAAAACTGACCTATGCATCCTCAGGAACAATGGGATAGTCACAGTTCATCTGTGAGTGAGGAATGCAAACATTGGCTAAAGGAGCAAAATCAAGTTGAAGAATGGAGAGTAGTTAAAAAAAACTGAAAGATAATAATAAAAATGATATTTATGTACGTCACAAAAAATTGGGAAAGTCTAACATGTCACCTCTTCCTCAGATCTAGAAGGAATACTTGCTATAAGGCGATCTTCAAGAGCCTGCACATGAACACAAATAGGTCCTGCCCCCTCATCAGTTGAATTGCCGGGCTTTCCACCCCAAGGCTTCAGGCTGTGCCTAAGTGCTCACTTCCCATGGTTTCTGTTTAGCAAAAGTAAGTATGTTGGGTCTGCAGGGGACACAAACACACAGAAGCCACTGGCTCCACCCGGGTCTGAATCTGTGATGGACACAGATGTTGCCCCCTGAAACTTTAGGGTCTGAGGGACCACAATCAACCAGCATTCTGCCTGGTGCCTCTGGTGTCAGGCAATCAAGTACCATTGTACCTAGTGTAGGGAGGGAAGGAGGAAGAGAGAGAGAGGTGGAAGGGCATGTGGGCGGGGGAGAGGCTGATCCAGTGAGGTGAGAGTGGTGAGGAACAGGCTGACGTGAGTGGCCAGCTGGCTGCCTGAGTGCAAGGAGATGGCTCCGTCTGGGCTCTGACCAAGGACTGGGTCTTGATCCTGGAGCAGCCAGGCCTGAGTTGATGTCTGTGTGTGTTGATGTCAACACTGGAGGCCATGCAGGGGCCTGAAGTGGGGTCACATTGGTGTCCAAGGACTGTACTGCTGCGGAGGCCATGTCAAACTGGGTGACTTACATGGCCACTTGGGGCCATGGTGGCAACCTGATCTGAGCTGCTGCTGAGGACCATGTCAAGATCCCTGGTCCTGCAGTGGCCAGGGTCTGTGTGGATGTCCCTAACCCATGCTGCCGCCAGGGCCCATGTGATGTTCAGGGTCTGTGATCATGTTGGTGTCTGAGGACTGTGCCACTGTCAATGCCAGGCCAATTTGGGTTACCAGGGCTGTCAACTGAGCTCATGGTATTGACTAGACCTGGGCAGAAACCTAGGGCCATGTCTGGGTCTGTGACCCTGCTGCATCCAGGATCTTTGTTGATATCTATGGCTCCTGAGATCAAAGGCATAGGGTTATATTGGTATCCATGGCCATGCTGGTGGGAGCCATGCCAGTGTTGATAACCTGAGCTGCCACCTGGAGCCATGGTGACATCTGAACTGGGGCTGCTGCCTAGGACTATGACTGTTATTCCTTTGGTTCTGGTCCCTTTAAGTGTTAACCACGCCCACTCCCAGCCACTTCTGACCTCCCTCGCCGCCATCTTAACTCTTTCTCTTATGTCCCCCATCTCTTGGCGTGTGCACACGTGTCTCTGTCTCTCTCTATGTTTCTCTCCATGTCTCTCTGTTTCCCTCTTCTTTTAAGTAATAAATGTCTCCCTCTTCTTTAAGTAATACTATGTCCTGTGAGCCTTTTATCCGCTGTACCCGCTCGCATGACTCGCCCACCGCGTGGCGGGACCAGCCTACCACCCTGGAGATCTTGCAGGGACCCACAGCCATCCTTGTCGGACTAGCGGCTGCTCTGTGAGCCTGCCAGGGAACACACCCGCCTTTTAAAGAACAATATTGGTGCCGTGGACTCGAGAGATTCATCCGCTCCAATTTCCGGGATTGAATCGGGACCGAGGGCCTTCTCAACACCGACCCACGTGTTCCAACTGCCTGGACTACAAACAACACCGGCTTCTAATTGTGAGTTTCCCCACTCCAGCCAGCTTAAATGAGTCTTTTTAACCTGAGATTGACCGGTCCTCCCGGTATTTCTAGGCTGGAGGGGAGGGGGTACTTCTCTGCCCCTTTGCTGGCGTTCATTACGGTTTGCATCCTGTTAAGCCTGTGCCTGGGACAGCTGGCCTGGCCAGCTCCCAGCACTCCCGCACCTGGGGGCCTGGGGCCTCCAATCTTCTTCCTCTCTTATTTCATTCTTTTCTTCTTTCTCATCTTTCTCACGGATGGAAGGGATGAACCGGTTCGGCCTATAGCACCCCACACGTGGATTGGGAACGCTCACCCACGTGTCCTGGGTGGTCGATTCATTTGCATCTCACCTAAACGGGGAGCCATTCCCCGTAGGCCTGAGATGCCATGGTTTTTGTGGGGTTTTCACGGTCTTGACCTGGAAAATCAAGTCGTTCCAGCCTAAATATGCCTTACTTAAAATCCTCCACACCTATCTGTCTTTAAATTGTCTGTTTACGCGGGTTTTCATGATTCACATTCTTAATAACAACCGCTCACAGCAGGCAGCCCCTGGCTTTTAAAATTCCTGCTGGCCATGACATGGTACAGTTTTTTCAGTTCCAGCCTTTTGCTCCCCTCTGTGGCTTATGGTTCGGCATGGCGGCTCAGCAACAGGGCAGATCACGCCTTTAGGTCACTCTTTATTAAGCTTAAAATCCTTACAGCTCAAAAATTGTAACTTTTCCCCCGCAACACGTGGCCGCCGCCATGTTCATTGGGGTCAGGTGACTTTATCGCTAGATTCACTGAGAGCCAGATCACGTGACCAAGCTCTCTCATTCTTATGTATGTCCTGCTTTCCCTTCCCGCTCCTCAGTGTTCACTGAAATCCTCTCATTAACTCTGATTACAGGTGTTTTACACAGTGACACGATTCTGATAGGACCCATCAGAAGCGTGCACTTTGCCT